ACCCGCGCCGTCCGCCCCGCGCCGCCCGCCGGCCCGCGCCGGGTGTCACATGTGACCTCACACATGAGCGTTCGTCTCCATCAGTTCAATTAGAGTCTGAAGGTTCTCAGAGCCGGGGTCGTCATTAGGCTCTGGCCAATTTGTCTCGCGGCCCTCTAAATCGATTACGAAAGGGATCGTGGTCAGGCCGTCCTCTAGTATCTTTCGCTTATTATCAAATGCTGAAAGGCAGCTCTTCCTTTGCTGTACTGTGTGCACGTTGTAATAACCATCGCTTTGAATAGCGAAAAAAGTGACTTCTTTTTTGAATCCTTCAAAAATACAATTTTTGTAGTCTCTGAAGGCGACATCTTTGTTTAATGTTGAAGATGGGATTCCTTTACACCTCCTCATTACACCCCACCCCTCCTGCTCCTCCTCTTGACCCCCCTCTCTCTCTCTCTCCTCTCGTGTCAGTTGAGTGTCGGCTGCCGCCGGACTAGTCACGCCGGCCCGCGTCGGACCGGATCGGGCTGGCACGGGCGGGACGTCGACACCGTCGACCCCTAGGTGGGTAGGCTTTTTCCACGGGAGATGACGGATGGCGTAGACTTTACTTTTTACCGCGACCATCTCAGTAATCACGCGCCCGCCAAGCTCAATCTTTAACAACCCGGGAACTTTCTTCCTGGAGGCGTCGTACAATGCATGCCACTCTGGCAGGCTGGAGAAGTCAAATAAATGACTAAGTTTCATTAAATCTTTTTCCAGTTCCTCTGTAGTGACCTTTATTATCAGAGAGTCAGTGTCAAACTGGAGCGTCTGGAGATTTTTCCCTTTTTCAGTAGAAAAGTGTGATTTCAACTCCCAAAACAATTTGGTTAAGTGTAGCTTTGAATGGTCTAGCACGAAGCTCGACACAAAGATGGGCTGAGACAGTGTCACTTCCTTTTTCAGGCACTCTACAGCACAGAAATTCTGGGCAAAGATTCTGAAATTTTTGTAGCTCGGTTTTCTTGTGTGTTTCAGAAATTCTTTCTTTGTCTTGCACAAGACAATGTTCCGATATTTTCGGGGGCGGGACAGAAATGAACCATAGAGGGAATTTCCAAGAAATTTCCAGTAGTCACTCATAAAGGGCATTGTCGCCTGCTGTCTTTGCTGCGCAAGATACGTAACGTATCCTTCCAACCACGGCCGTGTAGTGTATTTTAAACCACGGTGAAATTTGGTCACTTTCATGCCTTTCTCGATGTAAAATTGTAGCAACACACTGTGTATGGGATACATAACCCTAGGCCCAATCACGCTCATAAGTTTTTTCGTTTTCAGGGCAGCGCCAAAGCACGACGCCGCGGCAATTCTTTTTTGATACTCGGAAAACCAAGCGGGGTCCGGCGCCATGTGGACAGGCGCTAGTGGAAACTGGACATGATGATCCCGCTCAGCCTCCCAGAATCCATACTGAAGATCGACAAGAAGCAGTGCGCCAAAGCCTTGCTGGTGCAACTCGCTGAAATTCAGAGCTTCGCATTCTTCTGCGCTTAACCACATCACATCACCACACGGAATAGGTTGAGACAGGCTAAAATTGTAAAGCCCGTTCACATCCGTATACAATATCCACGACGTGGGCTGCTCTCTGTCGTAGTTAGGCGTGTGAGGGTTGTTTGCAACGGCATGTCTGAGCCCCGCACCACTGACGCCGCCACGTACACTTAACTCAAACATTTGGAAGGCTTGGCACGAGCTAATTAGCGGGATTTGACACCGACTAAATTTGACCGCACAAGCCAAGCTCAGAGAGGGCGTACTTATGAACGCACACACTTCATAGCCAAATGTTTCAGCCGTCGCTTGGCGATATTTCAGGAAGAACGACGCAAGTAGAACCACGTCTTGGAAATTATATATTAACATGTACTGTAGGAGCGACTCACATTTGAAGGCCTGCCATACCTTGTGAGCCCTCTGATAATCTTCCTCCGAGACCTCTTCTTTTTTAAGCTTGTTGTAAAACTCACACCGAGGTGGCAACTCCCTTTGCTCCTGGAGTGTTCGATAGCTCTTCAAAAAATCATAACACACCACCCCCTTTTCTTTTAGGAGCGAAAATTGATCATCTTGGGGATATAGCTGTCTTAATAAGAATAAATCATCATCTGTCAAGCTCTCCGCCAGGCTTGCGAGTGGGGCTCGCACGTGAAAGTATGAATCAATGAATTTCAACGAACGTTTTGTCTTAGCATCAATAATCAGTTCGAGGGAGCGATAAACTTCCTTATTCAGGGGCAATAATTTGATCTTACATTGCCTGAATTTGGGGTGGGTACTTGCGTGTTTGAGCCAAATTTTCGTGTCGAAAAACGCAGTGTTGTGTCCAATGACAGGGAGGTAGAGCCCTTTGTGCAAATTTAAATTACAGCTTCTGTGTGCGCCGCCTCGTATGTTACCGTTACAAAATCGTCCGTCATGATCTTTCACCTTTGGGTCATCGTCACAGAACGCCCCACCACAAATCCAGCACGTTGTACACCTTTCATACGCTTCTTCCTGTTGTGCCGTCCCACACGCAGGATAATCCACCCTATGAGTGAAACAATATTCTTCGGCCTCAAATATTGCATCCAAAAAGCGATGAATCAGTTGCTCAGCTCCTTCGCAGGAAAAGACGACAGGTTCCCTCACTAGAATGCCACGGAAATCCACCAGCATCGCACAGAAACTGAAGGGTATATGGACATTCATTTTTTGCGTTTTACCATTCCTAGCGTCGGCTTCCATTGGCGAAGCTAATGTTTCAAAGTCATAGAAGAGAATGTGACTTACAGGAGACATTTTCCTGATGTAGAAAGGCCCAAACTCGAGTGTGCTTCCCGGCTTTGGATATTTTACTTTCTGTCCTTCGAAAGTCCGACATATTTCTTCGTGCTCACCACGGCTGGTCGGCGTGTTAAAGGAGTTCAAACAATAGCAACAAAAGAACTTTTTTGCTTTGTGTTTGTTTTTTTCGTACAGCAGACGACTTTCGCTGGTACACAATACGAAATGCCGCCGTTTTCCCTTACCCAATAGCAAAAGCGTGATGTGAACATCTCTCCTTTGGTCTGGACAGTACAGTGGAAAAATGTCTCGTTTCTCGACACCGAAAATACTCAAAGAGAATTGATGGTTGAGCGTGCAAAATTTTTTTACGTCCTTGATTCTCATATTTTCTGACTCAAGTGTCCCAAAGTTCAATTCATCGTAGTAGGGAGTGTAAGTCCGAGGCTGGGTCGCCCTCTTGGCTTCTCGGGGCGGGAACAAGGCAGCCAAAATGCTCAGGCGAAAACATTGTTTGTTTGTTTTGGTGACAATGTTGACAGTGCAATGTTTGGCCGCAAGCCACCGAGGAGTCTTGATGTAACTCCCTCCAGACAGCGGACGCCACTGGGCCAGGCTTAATTCGTAATAATATACGTAAGTAATTACCCAGCTCGATCCTTCAATTTTTAAATGATCCCCACTATTTAATATATCCATGAACGCCATTTCAACTTGTTCAGTCTCTTCTCCACTTTGTGTTAAAATGGACCGCGTCTCTGAGACGAGGCTTTTGGTTTGGGTTTGCACTTGGGGCTCACCATTTTCACCTTGGACTTCCCGAGACACCTCCACCGAGACACTCATGCTCCATTTTAAACCACGAGCCGCTTCGACCTCCTCCCTCAACTTTTTAACGACAGCATCTTTGTTCTGAATGAGCGACATCCCCAAATCGTTCTTCTGCCCGCTCGGATAATAACGATGCAGTGCCGCGACGCCTCTCAGAGCAAATGTGGGTTGGTCCCAATCCCCTTCCCCACTCTCTTCTGACTCGCTCTCCTGTCCCTCTCTCTCTTCCGACTCTTCTTCTCTCTGTCCATCTTCTCTCCCCCCCTCTACACCTCTTCCTCCAACCTCCCCATCTCTCTCTTCTCTCTCTTCTCTCTCCTCTCTCTCCTCCACCTCTTCCGATTCTTCTTCTCCTTCTGGCTCGCGTCGGCCACGGCGCACCTGCTCGCCCCCGCCCCGCCCCTCCAACGCCAGCCGCTTACGGCGGCAGATGATGATATGTCTATTCTTCTCATTAAGCGTCCGATATCTCTTACGACATATACAACACGCATACTTCAAGCTTTCATTTTTCCTTTGACATTGTCTTTGGTGGGCTACATAAGATCTTGCTTTCTTGAAGCCTTCTAAGCAATGTGGACACTGCCGCACAACCAAATGACATATTGCTCTGTGGGTGTACAGGAGAGCCTGACTCTTTCCCTCATATTTGCATTCCGCACACTTGAATCTCTTAACTAGTCGAGGGCCGTGAATCGCTTTCACATGCGCCAGCAGATAATACTTCGACTTAAAGGTTTTTTCACAAACATCGCATCGAGAAGGGGATTCGTGTGTTTTAACATGTCTTTGAAAATTACTCTGAGAACGTATTTTCTTTCCACACACATGACATTCGTGTGCTTCCTTTTCATGTATTAAAAGATGTCTTTTTAGTTTTGAGGGTCGATTAAAACACCGGGCGCATACTGGGCACACACTCTCTTTCGCCATTTGTCATGTCTTTGTGTTTTGCGAGAAACGATTTACAAAAAATATATATCTCCCACTCACCGAATGACAATGCACAGCAACCGCAAGAACTGGGATGAGCCGGGAGCACGGCGTGGCGGATTCTGGTAGGACACGCTGCTCACCCTGGCGGCGTATGGACTTCTTCACACACACACACACACACACACACACACACAAGCTGCTCACAACACACGCCCCGAAACACTCGCGCACACACGTTCCTGTTTGGTTTTAACGCGAGACACGCGTCACGAACTGCCCGCTTCACTTGGCACTACTCGTCTGATGTCCTACCGCTCGCTCGCCCGCCGCGCGGCCGTCGGCCGTCCTGCCCACCCGCTCATTTTTGGCGCGCGATCATAGAAACACGTATTTGCATAAGGGTTAGGGTGGGGAGCGGCCTTTTCATAGGCCAAAACGATGCTCGCACCTGCCCACCGTTATAAACTATTCGGCTCGACGCTCCCCCCTTTCCTATCCAAGGAAAGGCGCGGCAGCCACACGGCCCCAGGCCCTCGGCCCTCGGGTCAGTTCATCTGAGTAGATCGAGCCGCGCTGCCGTGACACGCTCCTGGAGGCCCTAGTGCGAATAGGACGCCGTGTTGTCGTGTTGCCGTGTTGCCGTGCTGCCCCTCCCCAACCGACCATTTGACCAACTCGAGTGAGTGTACCATGGAGAGCGAGCCTCTTCTTGAAAACAATGGTGATTCCGACGAAGACGGCCCGCGGATCGCCTTACTTCAAGATGGATCCTCGCTGAACTCGCTGTATTATGACAATTGGGAACACATATGCCAGTATTTATGTGACTTTGACCTTGCGTCCTTAGCCAGGACCTGCACCAAGCAACGTGACAATGTGAAAACATTCTTTTCCCTCCACCCCCCAACACTGGACTTGCGACAATGGGGTATAGCCTGGTGTAATGTTGGAAAAGCTGACTTTAATTTTCATGAAGTCGAAGCCAAATTTGACCTGGCCAATGAGATTCTGTCTTTGACGGAAAAAGTTCTTTACGTGGGCTACCCAGATTATACGCCATTCCATATGTTGGCGTTTAATCCACTCCTGGAAAAGCATTTATATGACCTTGTTGACCAATTTTTTGACAATTTATTAAGGCCCCAGGTTTTATCAATTGCTCCCGTCTCTCTCTCATGTTTTTTTTGGCGATATATTTCCGTCGACTTTCGTGCGGAGATGGTGATTACTTCCTCATGCCTATCGATACAGCATATAGAGCAGGCAGTATGCTACTCTCTTTTCCTACCCCAGCCCTACAATACCCGATACTACCCCTGTCTAAAAACTTTGCACATAGACTTTGAACGTTCGGCCCGACGAAGCTGGACGCTTCAAAATTGTATTCATTTTGTGACTTTGTATGTTCTTAAAGCATGCCCCGCCCTAGAGTCTTTATTTCTTTATTTCAATATGACTGTATGG